ATTGGAGATAGAAGGACAACATATCACCGAATTTCCTTCTATGATAGGAACCGAAGATTGCTTTTTGTTTTCTGTCCTTTAGAGAGAGGATTTTCATGTTTATTTTGTGATGGCTATGGGTAGGTTGGATTGGGCGGTTCAGTCTCAAGTTTTTTTCATGAGTTCAGGATAAACTAAATATAGAAATAAGCTCTTCATTTTCTTTTTCCTTTTTTTTTTGTTGGGAGGGGTTTATTGTCAGATGTCTAATTGCATGGTTCAGCTGTCCACTGTACTGCTTTATTAGGTGCTCGTTCCAGGTTTTAGGCTCTGTTTGGGAAAAGAAGGAAAAGAGGGGGCATGAAAGTGGGTGTGGAGAATAAGGGAAGTTTTGAAATTGTTGTGAGAAGGAGATGAAGGGAAAATTTTAAAATTTGCCACTTTTTTATCCTCACCCTCTAATTTTCTTCTCCTCATTTTCCAAACAGAGCATTAGACTTATACATTTTCTTTTTTCCAGGTTATCCTAACAAGGAAGAACACCATTACTGGAGTTGAATATAGGAACGATCCCGCCATTTTTGGATGGGAGTTAATAAATGAGCCACGTTGCATGACAGATGCCTCAGGCGATACTCTTCAGGTAAGAATATGAACCTTGAGGTCTTAGTACTGCCTCTTTATGCCTAAGAACCACATTAGTGGATAACATATCAGATAACATAATTCCTCCCTTGTCGACTTAGTCTTATGGTAGTTTCTAATCTTGTAAACATTCTCAACTTCGGTTGATCAAGCTTTTGGCCAAAGAAAGCGATCAAGCTTAGAATAGTTAAGATGATTTTGTTGTTTTTGACCAAATAAAATATGAAGGGTATTTTGGCTATCTTAAACATCCTTTCAGAGAATCTACTTAGTTCTTGATAGTAATTCTGTATGCTTCGTTTTGCTATGTAAGAAGGCTTTACTAGCGATCCTGTCAAAAAAACTTTCCTTGCTATTTACTCGTGATGCTGTTAACAGTTATCATTAAGTTACTTGTGTAGGCAAATCAAATAATAAGAACGCTATATCGAGACATTTGGAAATTAATAAGGCAAACATTACAAGAAATCTGTCTCCATGAATAGCAAAATTGACTTTTCCGAATCATATCGGATGAGCCTTGGCAAGAAATTGAATGAAAGCAAGAAACATGATACTCTATTCAACATCAGTTCTAGTAATATGTATAACAGATGCCTCTTGTTTATTCTAATGCTGTACTTATAATATATCTCTCCTTTTTAGCTTTTCTTATTTATTTGTCTAAAATGTTGCTTGCTGCATTATATATCATGGAACTGCAGGATTGGATTGTGGAAATGTCAGCATATGTAAAATCAATTGACAAGAACCATCTGCTGACTGTGGGCCTTGAAGGATTTTATGGTCCGAATAATCCCAAAAAGTTAACTGTGAACCCTGGAGAGTACTACTTTGCACTACTTGGATCTGATTTTGTTAGGAATTCTGAGATACCGACCATCGATTTTGCCTCTGCTCATATCTATCCGGACCATTGGTAAGCATTCATTGTCAATAAACTTTATTTATCAAATATGGTACGGCAGTTTCACTAAAAAGAAATTGGAAAAAGATCTCCTCTGCTGGTTAAAACAAGTCTCTAAAATAACAAGTTTAGCTTGAATGGTACTACTTTAGATTCTCCATGGTTTGTTGATGCTAAATTCAGTAAAAAGGATGGGCATTTTTGGCTTTTCTAATGATACCAGTAAAGTCTGATGTCGACTATTAGATGTGACATCATTCACCACATCAAGGCATATCCTTTTGATCTGTATATTGAACTCATTCTGACCAACATTTTGATGGCAGGTTTAAGAATCAAGATTTTGAGGAGGAGTTGAAATATGTCGCTTTGTGGACACGCTCTCACATTGATGACGGTGATAGGATACTTAAGAAGCCAATCATGTTCACTGAGTTTGGTTATTCGACTCTAAACAAGGACTTCGATCCTTCAAAACGAGATAGATTCTTCAAAACCATTTTTGATGTGATATATAAATCGGCGAAGAAACAGGGAGCTGGAGCGGGTTCTTTTGTGTGGCAGTTCTTGGTGGGAGGAATGGAGAAATATAACGATGATTTCGGTATCGTTCCCTGGGAGAGGCCAGAGACCTACAAGCTGATTACACAACATTCATGCAGAATGGCCAGAATTCGGGGATCAGCTGAGCTTAAGGGTAAATTGAAAGAGTTGTGTTCGCAAAGATAATGAGGGCCCGATTCTTTTATAGAAGTTCTTTTTCTCGTCCTCGGCTATTATGGTTTTCTGCCGCTGATGGTGTGAAAGCAAGTGGGACCGGGGATCTTCTTGTACCATATTCTTTATGTATACACGTGTTTCAGACCGAATGGATTTCATTTTGAGTGCTATGAATTAAAGAAGCTAAGATAATGTGATTTCTGGGTTTTGAGAGGAATAGAGTTCAGGGCATTACTTTCTTCAGAAAGCATGTTTGCCTGGTCAGGAACGACTAATGAACCGTGGGTTAAAAGAGCAGAACCGATCTCATGTCTGATAGGCTATCAAGACAAATTTAACCCATTTAGGCACTGACTGTATTTTATGAGTTAAACATGCCGGTCTTAAGGATTTTGTTTATATAACAGCATCGTTTATATTATTTTTTACATGGTGGTGCAAATTGAGAACTAGTAGCTCAACTGGAACTTCTCAAACGAATTGAGGGATCCGAGGGCAGCGTCCCTCGCCTTCTCCGGAGGAGGAGTCGCCAAGAGAGAGGGAGGGAGGGGAATCAGGGCCTAGCTTGAAAAGCCTGAGACTTCCAGGACTGCCATCTCCTTCAATGTACTCAGCAGAAGCAAGCATTTCAAGGTTGATTTGGCTGGTGATTCCATTGTCTCTGTACATCTTCCATGCTTTCTCAGCTGGGATGTTGAGCACCACCTCCCCTTTCATGCTCCTCATCTCTCTCTCTCTCTCTCTCTCTCTCTCTCTCTCTCTCTCTCTCTCTCTCTCTCTCTCTCTCTCTCTCTCTCTCTCTCGACTTTAAGTCAATATGTAAACAGTAAGAGGGTGAGACCCTGTATAAATAGGGAGGAGAGGGATGAAGCATTTGCATGGTCCAGGTGGTGTTAGTTTTCGTAATGAGACAATTGTGACAAAGCCCACGTAATTAGTCTCCTCAAACACTTTGATTTTGCCTTTTTTTTCCTACGTTGGTCTTGGTACTAAGAAAAGTGAGGCAGATCATGTAAGTAAATTTGTTGATCACATCTCCACCCTTATTTGATATAGGCCACCCTGGTTAAGCCTTCTATCCTGTCTTTTTCTCTTTTAAGGATTTTGTTCTTCCGTACCTTCCGGTGAAAAGAATACATCTAACTGATGATGCAAGGATAGTTGAATGCATGCAATTGCAGCTAGGATTCATTAAGAAGTGATTGCATTCCCGCCCCTCCGTTTTCCATGTTGGCATGTGGAGACATTGTGCTCCCTACGTCAGGATTTTTCCTGAGGGCTCCGAAGGCCGGTTTCAAGGCTTGTGTTGTTGTCGGAAGAAAGGGCTTTCGATGTGAACCGGCGATCGAAAGTGAAAATGTTATGAACTTATGATGAGTGAATGTTGTGATCAACTCAATGCAACCATGGCTTGTGCTCTCTGAGATGTGGTCCAACATTTGGGATGGGAAAGGAAAGTTTTCTGGACACACTCGGTCATCAATTGGGGCAAGCGGAAGAGGACCATGATCATCTCATTTTATTTTATTTTTTTGGTCGAAAACCATGATCATCTCATTAAACTGCTACATTCTAAACAACAGCCTTTCGTCTAAATAGATGAGGCAACCTGAGAAAAAGTTTTTCTGCTAATGGTGTCAAAATTGACTGGTGCCCCTGAAGAGGGATCAACAGTCTCGAGAATGAAGTGGAATCTCCAGCTCCGATAGAATTGGTGATCACATTTTGAAAGAAAAGACATCTCAATCAAATTTCACTTGATTTTAATAGATACACGGAAAATTTCCTTCATAATTGATTGTTCTTATGCTCCGTAAAATCAATGCTTTGATAATCGAATTGTTTCGAATTAAGTGTACTTAACAAGTGTTGCAAGGGCACTAATTAAGATAACAAATTGATAAAGTGCTCCTTTGCATTCTTGTGCGCTACTAGGACTCTTCAGGGGTTGAAAAACATTCTTACTTTACCATTCTACCGTTGTGGTCACTGGCCGTTGGCCTTTCCTGGAAGCCTGTCGTTCGATGTGAAATCAAATCCTTACGAGCACGTAGAGATATTATATCTAAGCACCAACATAAGCTCTCGTGCTGTAAGGTGTTGGGTTAAGTCCCACAACGAGCGCAACCCTCGTGTTTAGTTGCCACCATCGAGTTTAGAACCCTGAATAGACCGCCGGTGACAAGCCGGAGAAAGTTGAGGATGACGTCAAGTCATCATGCCCTGTGCTTACAACCAGAGGGACAAAGGGTCACGATCCCGCGAGGGTAAGCTAACTTTAAAGACGAGGAATTTTTTTGACCAGTGGTAAAAACACTATATAAGATGGCGGGATGTCCTAGTACACGTACTAGTTCAGCGCCTAGCTCCTCATCGGAACGAATCATATGAAAAGCAGAATGTGAAATAACAAACCGTGACTAGTCAATTGTTCTGAAAATCAAGTACAATCAACAATTAAATGGTTTGTTACTTGTAAACTGTACTAAAAGAAAAACACCAGTTGTCCAGTTATTTCCCACGAATTCTAGGGTGTTTGTCTACCATAAACAGCCGTGAGCACTATTTTAGGACCTTATTAACACGGTTGAGTACTTTGGGTGGCACCTGAAGGGTACATTCAGACATGACCAGAAGATGAAACAAAAATCAAACCGCAGTAAACGACACTGCTCCTCCTTCTCTAAGACATCTGCACCACAACTTCGTACTATTTAAAAAACTCTCCTAACCAAGGCAGCATGCTGAGTAATGTGCACAAAATTTACTCATTCCATCGGAAGTCGGAAACTCGTGTTGCAAATTATAGGATCGAAGTTCGCATCTGTACAAAATTTACTCAACAACACAAACAGGCAAAAGCAACCGTGGCAAAAAGAACGACATACGTATGGTTCGAACCAGTTCATCTGAAAATGGTTCATGCAATGTGGCCTGCTGTAACCAGTTAATCTCGAATCAGGGTCTTCAAAATCACGCCTGCAACTAGCCAAAATGACGACATAAGAGAAATCAGGCTTGGTCCCATTTTTTCATCATTACACCCTAAGAAAAGGCTAGTAGAAAGCTAGAGAACCAAGGTGGGCGAATTGAAGGCAAATGAATAAGAAAAGAACAGTATCAGGCAGCTGACTCCCAGTTATAGAGCCGACAAAATCAAATTTAGAAACTGACTACCGGTGGCAGTGGCATCCATTCGACCAAACATTGCCCCCAAAACATTTGATACGTACAAAGCAACCATTGACAACTTGTACATGCAACCATGGAACAACTAAAGCACAAGAGAAATTATAGCACTCAAGATTTTGCTGCAGTCCAGGTGAAGGCGCTTCAGCGAGACGAAATACATCTTTCTAGTCCAACAATGTTAATAAACATATGCATCAATATCCAATACCTCCCTCTATATTTATCACCACGCAAACCAAGGAGCCATCTAAAACTTATGAGATTTAACATATGATGCAAAAAACAAATGCAAATCTAGCAATCCAACCAGTAAACCCTACCAGAATGACAGCATTTAATACTGATTTTAGTTGAGGGTAAGGACACCAGCGACAACATGACAAAAGCATCCATTGAGTACTTAATCTATCTATGCCCTTTAAGATACCAAAGTTTTTTAGAATTTATAAAAACAGGCTTTTTCGGAAATAAACAAATTTAATTTCCAGCTTTCTATTCTGCATTAGTAGCAAACAGCATGGTGAACAATGCTAGGAAAGCAAAATGAGTCCGCAGGACTTGAAAATAAATTCTTACCTCAATGCTACATGATTAAGGCTGAGGGCTGGTGCATTTTGCTTTATCAAGCTCTGTGCTCAACATATGATGAAGCAGGATATCAACTCTCTGACTTCTTGTCTTCGTGCTGTATTAAACCAGGAAAAGAAGCAACGATAATGCATCACACAATTATCTAAATCACTCATAAATCAGAAGATAGGTATCACTATATAGTGTCCAAATAGTACATACCCGACCGAACGAGGCCGCCTGCCCCTTGTTTCCTATATAAACATAGATTAATAGAAGCTTGTACTAATAATAACTGGCAATTGGACAAACCTATGCTGACACATGTACCCAAAAAGTCGTCATAACCTTTTTCTGAGTACTAGATAATACAAACCTTGTCCTGTCCCTCGCAGTTTTCTGATGATTCAAGATCCATTTCAGTAAAGAATGCCTCCAAGACAAAGGCGACAACCTGTAATCACATGCAAATAAAAATGTGTGCTCGTAATTTAACAATTGCCACAGAACTCAAGGATAATTTCAACCATCAGCCAGGTTTGTCTTCAAGTTCTGATGTATTTTTTTATATGACTGAAGAATAAGAACATCATTTCATTAATCTAATAGTTTTTCACTTGCAATACGTTTCAGCCAATCATTCAAAAACAAGCCAACTCATGAAGTTTCGAGTTCCAAAGAGGAGAGGTGATCACAATAAGTAAGAACAATGCTTGACCATGCTGATTATTCTAGAAGAGTAAATATAATTCCCAGACTGACTGCCATATTTGGCAAAATCCTCTCGAAATTGCCCATGCCATTAAATTACTGCAACGCTAAAGAAGCATAACTTGTTTAGATGTTATTCTTGAACATCTGTTTCACCTATCTGAAGCATACTGCTTAATGATTGGATATACCATAGTACAGGGGAGAAAGATGCATCAAAGTAATGTAGATTAAGAGACCAGGAAGTTAACATTTTTCTAGTCAGGGCATCTTGTATAAATTGTCTGGCTCAATTTGGATCTCCCTATGCTTAGTATGGAGACCACATAAAAAGCAAAAACATCTTCAGCTACTATGGTACATGTGCCGGCCATTTCCAACAATCTACAGCTGTTGAGGTAAAGGTCCCTTCTGCAGCACTAACATGCATGTACTTTTTGATAATTGGAAATACACTAATATAGAGGAAAAGATGCATGAAAGAATAGACAATCAAGAGCCTAGGAAGTTAACATATTACCTAGTCACAGCCTTGTCTAAGTTGTCAATTGCACTCTATCTCTAATGCAAGTATGGAGACCGATAAAAGGCAATTAACATCTTCAGCAACTACGATACATGCGCTAACCATATCCCACACAGCCTACAAGGCTTGAGGTAAAGTCTCATTCTCCACCAGTAAGAGAGAAAAATTCTCTTCTCGATAGAGAAAAGGAATATGATCTCCAACTTGCAAATGTGTCACACTACACCTTTGAACTTGATAAGGGAAGAAGAAATTCCTTGACATAAGCATATTACATTAGGTGGGTGAGGCTTAGATGGCATTGCTCGTGAAAGACTCTGCAGAGGCTTAGCTGAGCTCAACAAACACAAGATTGTACAATTGGCCTCATGCTTGGATAAATGCATAATAGATACTGCTTAGTCTAAGTAAGTTGATCCAATAAATCTGCAGCAGAAACAAGTCATCTTGCATGCATGTCCGGCATATGAAATTTGATTCGATAAGAAGCATTTTAGCTGGCTTGCTTGCAGAAAACAGTGTCTTCTCAAAAACTTTTCCATGCCTTCTCTTCATTCTTTTGCTCATTTAATTAATGGTCAACAAACTTTCTTCAAGAGGAAAATGCACTCTAGAATGTTAAAAACCTCAATGATATGTCCCTGTGAATATCAAAATAAAACTCACCAAATTCAAGAGCAGTAGAACAGTTATTAAGTAGAAGCTGATGAAATATATGAGGGTCCAAGATGTCCCTGTTAGTACCTTGTAGCTCTGGAACATAGCAAGACAATAAATTAATGCATAACACATTCTGTCAATAGGTACAAAACACCATATATCAGAGAGTATGTAGTGACAGCAGCACCTGCATCCAGTCTTGCCAGTTGTTCATGACTAACAAATTGAAAAGTGTCATCATCCCATTCGGATAGTCATTAAAATTGAAAAGCAAATAGCTAATTAGTGTCAAGAAAAAGTCATCCGAATAACAAAATCTACCGCCAACTAGCACGAAAGTAGGACATGAACAATATTTGATGAAGCTATCTACAAGATGAATACAGAACTAGGGTTATTAGAAATACTCTCAAACCATGACATTTACAAGTTTTTTTCCCTTTCGCCCCAAAAGAGTTAGAGATGATATTAAAGTCTAGAAGGCATTTATGTTAACGAATTTGCATTTTTTGCATAATCAAGGCTAAAAAATTTAGCTCCAAGTAGTTTCCTTTGAATCCTTAATACATAAAGATATCATTGTTTATGTAATAAAGAAGTTCGCCCTAAATTGTTTAAAGATCATATTAAGGTCTACAAGGCAATCATTTTGACGAATTTGCATTTTCTGATAATCATGGATAATGAATTTAGCTCCAAGTAGTTTCCTTTGAATCCTTGCTACACAAAGCTATGATTCTGCAGATCAACTATTCATTATGTCTTGCCCTTTTTTCTCTTGAAATCTTAATTGTCACTTTTTTATATAGGATGTTCATTGTCAATTGAAAATCAGCTACAGTTTTCCCATTGAAAAATATTGTCCATTTTCACCTTTTTGACATTAGTTCAGCCCTTTACAGTCGTCATTTAAAAGAAGTGGAAGAAACATAGTTATTTCTTTTTGGGTGGAGCAGGGACTGGGGAGGGAGGGGTGCATTTTTACAAAGATTTTCAAGGTAAGTAAAAAAGGAGGAAGAACAAAACAATACAAAGGATACTTATCAGCTGCAAGATCAGTTTCTTCCAATTTGGAGTTCCCAGCATTGACCATCCCACCGAAGATCTACAGAAAAGAATTTCGAAAACAGTTTTAAGCTGAATTAACTTGAGAAGATGGAATATATGTCTAAGGAAGACATGATATGTCCTCCCTAATAAATTCAACTTATGACACAAGCGCAACAGCTAAGGATGTCATTCCCAAAAAATTCAGCTGATAATACTGAGAAAAGCCGTAAGGTTCCTACCAAGTATCATCATCCTTATTTGATACTTAAGAGTGGTAGATGTTTGGTCATTTCGCTTCAGCTAACGGAGTAGCAGAGTCTTCCTTTTTCCCTTTTAAAAATAGGAATTCAGGTTTGATGACAATATATGCAAAAAATCAGTCGATTCGAAATGCTTGCTCCAAACTAATTATAGTAAACGTGGAAGGAGTTGATACTCCAATATTTTGTATTTCCTGTAGAAGAAAAGATAGTGGACCTAAAATATAAGGTTGCTGATAAAAAGCAAGCGCGTGGGAGACCACCCGATATTCTTCACCACAGAAAGATATGTAGGAGATAAACTACCGTTCGTAATTTGCTTTTTTAGCATAGCAGCAAGGTTTCTTATATAAAGATATAACCTAAATGCAGCCATTATCTTTTATATGCGAGACAAAAAAAATTTCCCTCGTAAGGCCGACAACAAACCATCGGAACATAAGGAGGAAAAGCAAAAATATTCAAAAGATGATCCACAGGACAATTCTTTGTTTGAGGACAAAAAGACGAGAGCATCTGATACCTGTTCTCCAAGAGAGCAATAAATGCACAGTACACAAAAGATGATTCCAAGGTATGGCATCAAACTTGGTATGAGAGTAAAGAATGTAGCAACAAAAGCTCGGTAGCGTTTAACATGCATTAGCAGCCTTATCAATCTCATCAATCTAGCAAGAAGAAGGTACCGAATCCTGTAACAAAGAAACATCAGAAAATAATTAGAATTTGTCTTTAAGTGTACGCAGAAGGCACAGAATCTACGTTACATCTTTCAATTTTGGCACACTCAAAGAAGCAGTATCATGCTGGAATAGCATTGAAGGACCCACCCTGACAAATTATAGTTAATATTTCATCCCCGTCAACTTATGAGCCTGCATGTACATTCTGTCCTTGTTTGTCGATTCAATATGCTCTAAATTATATTAGTTGACCAGTTTTTAATCAAAGAAAGTTCACTGTAAACTGTACACTATACATCATTATGATCAACTCCACCATGTTGTCACTGAGAATGGAAAGAGAAAACAAACTGGGCAATTCCAATATGCAACCTAGCGTGATAGTTGCAGTCAGGCTCAGGGTAGCTTTAATCAATAATAGGTTAATGTTCAGTAGGAACCTGGAAAGGAGTTTTCATTTTACCTCCAGTATATCCAATTTTTTCCCTAAATGTAGATTCATAATCCAAGAAAATAAAAAATTTTCCAGTCTGGTTAAAATTAATGTTATAAATACAATCACAAGGAGACACGAGGATTTGCTCCTAACTTCCAAATATTCCAATTTAATACTCCCAGCCATCCTATCTGAGCATCTTTCGAGCACTTCACCTAGCCTACATATCTTCTGGTCATATCCAAGGGCCTACAGGTCATATCTCATGTAAACTATTCTAAACCTTGGGCCATGTTTGCGATGGCCATGTGAACCAGCAAGAACCTCCTTAACAATTGCTCATCTGCAACTTAAATGATGTTCCTCTCCAGGACTTTCATGCCTAGATCTATTAGCAGGTAAAGTTCCTAAAAGCAGTGCGCTTGCAACATCCCCCCTGTGGACCTAGCGCATTCCAAACTGATACAGAGCAAAGAAAGTAATGGGATATATCAAACACTTATATCATGCGTACCATTCTCCATTTGAAAGAAAGTCAAGTCCATTAGGAGCCACAAAGGTGATAGTTTCTCCAATGACTGAAAAGAGCAAGAATCAGTTCAGAAATGCAGCGAAACTTTAGGAGCTTTAACATTTCTAGGATAAGGAAATATCCAGACATGAATATTCAACAGCTGACTTGTTATTAGCAGATCTGCATATTGTAGCTGCTAGTAAAATGTAACAAACAAACAAGCTTGGACCTCAACTATCTTCAATGTCTGTCCTACCATCGAGTTATTTTACATGGAAAATGTTAACAAACTCTCTCAAGACACTCTTTAAGCTATATTTTATGAACTTTGAAATTGTAAAAAGATTGACATGTTCCAATGTCTTAAGACATGTGAAATAACTATACTTCGCTCATTGTTTATGTCTTGAAAACATGTACTACATGCATTACTCTCACCAAATTCCCTTAGGGCACCCGTTAGAAAGTCTCATCAAACATAAAGCAAGTAGAAAGCGGGTGAGCAGCTGCAACTCATTGCAATCACCAAATTGACAACCATTTATTCTACTATTTGTGATACGAAGTCCTTATCACTAACTTATTTGATTTTAAGTCAAACTCTGTAATTGATTAAATACTCAACAGTTGCATAATAACAGTCCACTGAATTCTTCTGTCATCACATATAAATTGGCCTATGGTGACAATTTACCGTATTTTAACGATAAAAAGATTCTCAACACTAACTTATTCAATGACATCAGCTTTACCAAAAGTCCGTAATTTATCTGATACTAGGGGTCCAATAATAGTCTTCATTGATTTCTTTTATTTAGTGACGCTCCAACGTATCTTACATTGAGCTGATCATGGACTTCATTTTTTTATTTACAAACCTGATAAACTTATGGAGAAAATAATGCATTACTGACAATAACTAAATAGAAATGCAATTCTTATGAAGAAAGGAACTATGTTAAAAAATCACATGCATTGCATGGGTATGAAGACCAGTTCTATACATCTCAACCACAAGTTTTAGGTTAGACAAAACAGACTACCATTATCAGAGAATTCAATTGGAAAAAAGACTACCTACAATTGGAAAAATGTGTACCATTATATCGTTGTGTAGACTGTTGGGGCATCATTGCCATCGATAGTAAGTAAAAACATTTATATGTTAGACAGTTACATGCACTGAAAAAATTACGATCTATCATTGCGTGAAATATTCACCTATCACCCAGGTGATCAGAAAATCAAAGCGGTTTTGACCATCCCTCCAATAGTTTTCGAACCCGAATGAATAAACTTTCAAAGCCATCTCAAGCACATAGATCCAACCTGTCGGACAAAATAAAAATATCGATCATAACAGCATAGTCCAAGCCCTTTAAAAGAATTAGCCTAAATTCATAGGACATGCAATCAACTGACACAAAAGTCAAGGTTAACAAGTGCAAATTCATTATCTCATGTCTAAGACCTACAATAACTGATGGGCCCAAAAATTGCCAACCAAATCCCAGTGAAAAAGGATATTGAGTAGCTCAAAAACAAGGGCAATTTCAGAATGAATAGGTAATTAGACAATTTGATGTGCGATTGGAAACAATGAACACACGGCTGCTTTTAAGATCACTGACAAAGTGAATCTCACTCCGGCATTACAAAGACATCTGGTTCTGCTAGAGAGAACATAACTAGATAGCAAGTCACTAAAAATGAGCACAAATTAACAAGTAAATCTTTTCAATGGTTTTGTGACAAAACAGCCATAACACTTGAAGACAATACAAGAAAATATCAGATCCATTCTCACTCGCTCAACATCTGTAGACATTTTAAACTCAATGAAAGCACAACCAATAATATGCCACAACAGATAGAAGAGCCTTGCCCCGTTCAAGCTGGTTCAAACTGGTGTTTGATAAATTAAATTTCGCCCTTGTAAGAAGGAATGTCATATATATTGTGGCTGTTTCCAATTCCAAATAGGAACTACGACTCATATACCATTATACGACACAAGAATACCCAGCATATACTTACCAAAGACAAACTCTACCTCTTGCCACACTTTTTGGCCAGAGTTGTTTTCAATATCCAGCTGAAACACAACGAATCCATTAGCTTCCTTAATATTCCAATAACTACCACAATAATGTACCAAAGGGACTGAAATAAGTGAATTGTTTTGCATCAAATGATGAAAGAGAAAATAGGAGTAATGATGCTAAGTGATACATGGTAAGTAGAGTGACTTTTGAGCTTAATAGTGATAGGTCCAAGACACAAGAAAACAAGTTACATAGCACTTGGTATAGAATTGCAGAAAAGCCAGCCTGTTCTCTTTATTTGAATCGACTAGGCGTGATAATCATTAAGTCAGCATCTGATTTAGATCATACTAAGTCACCTCAGAGCATGTTTTCACACCATTGATCGACATTGGCTCATCCCAATATGTAAGGAAGAGATCAACGATTCCAAGTTCTACAAGCCTGGGTGGATACAGGACCTTTTACACAGGTTGTGCCTATCAGTAACAACTAGTTTTATATTTCTCAAGCCTAGATAAGCTTTTATGACAAACTTTACCTATTGATTGGCATCTAAAATTAAACAAAAAAGAGAGATATACTTTCAACATTTGATCATCAAGAGACATGAATGAGACAATTATCACCTTATGAGTCGCTAAAGTAGTCATATTTGAGAGATTAGGGACGAGCAACAAGTTCAGCATTCTCATGCATGAATTTGACCATCAATTGAGTCCAGAGCTCACTTCAGCATTGAAGACAATGCAAAATAAAAAATTGTCCAATTGTAGCTCCGTTTGTGTCACATGATCAACTAACCAATTAAATGAAATTATCATAACTGATCTTGTGCTTCACTATAGTGCCACACCGGGATTTGTAAAGCATTAAATTGATGAAGGTTCAAGCCATACCGTTGTCTCAACAATCACCGCAACCAGATTCAGAACGAGAAAAAACGATATGATATATCCAAATTTTGAACTTTTCACAAAACCCTTCAACTTCTCAGAAAATGGAGACTTGTAGATTGATGGAAATTTCTCGAACAGAGAAGGCTGCGAAATGGTGTAACAAATGGAAGTGAAACTCTGAAGCTTCATGCCTATATTCAGATCAGCAAAAGAACCAACTCACAGCATCCTCCTTCTGGAATCTAAGGGCAATTGCATTGCAAAGATCGTCAAATTCATCCGTGTTGATCTACAAAAGAAAAAGAAGATGGAAAATTCTAGATAGAGCATTGACCAGATAACCGACCGTGGAAAGATGATCTATCGTCATGAAAATCAGTAGTTGAAAGTCCAAAAACACAGAAAAGAAATAGCAAATCACTTCCAGTGTATAATATGGTCAATTTATTGGGTGCATATGCTTTTCACAATATGCTGATTTTTCTTCCTTTTGAGGAGCATAAAGGAAGCCAGTTGGCAAAGGATATGCATATTCTACACCAGTGGGATACATTAAAACAGCATATGTCAGATCGTATAAACTCATTATGAAAAGAAAAATAGAAGCAAGAAGTATTAAAATCATAAAAAGCCTGGTGAAAAGAATGTTGACGTTCCCCATATATGAAACCATACAACTAACATGTGCATAGGCAAAGAAGAAAGTCCATTAAACAAAAACGAAATTAATAGAAGAAATAGCAATACTATTAACCAAAAGCTTAACCAATTTTTTGATACCTTGAAGTCATGACTATCATCCAGCTCATCAAATATAAACTCAAATTCTTCCCTCGATATCTTTGGCAGTGTCCTGGAAGAACATTCACAAGACCAGCATCGAAGGTTAGGAAAACATATAGAAGAACCACTCTAAGAGAAATAAAATAGCTATTATCTTCGCACCATAATGCACAGAAGCCACACTTAATCATAGGCAAGCTTATTACCGAGACATTAGTTAGAGTAAAAGTCAAAGTGATATGAAAGCAAATTAGTTTTTCTGAGATCCTGATTATTCAGGCAAAGTCCAGTGTTAAAAGTCTGGTAGGCTTTCCTTCATGCTATTGTTGCTTCCAGGCCCAAAGAAGATAGGATCGTTCTCTACCATCATCAATTAGCTCTAAATCAAAGACAAACATGCTTTTTTCAAGATAATCTTACAGCAGCAATATCCCATTCTTCTTTGTTTGGGATTTTTCTGCTGAAACTATTTCTACATCTTTAAATTCAAGGGCACTGATTAGCATGCCATGACATTTCATAATGCAAACAATTCACCACACATGTTCTTGCATGTTTTCTGGCAGCTTTTACATATCTCATCGATGAATGCTTAACTTGACAGGCTGGAAATTATAAAAAGAAAACAAGAAACAATAATTCTAGACATCTTGTGAGTAGCATGCTTATATACCTGTAGTCATTCAGTTCCTCAAACAGGTGTACACACTGCTCTTTATTGATATGCCCAACGTTCTATTCATGCAAAAAAAGAGAAGCCCATCAGAGACGAGTACATGCAGGTATATATTGAGTATAAGACAAGCAAGTAAGAGGATAACCCGAATCACTCTAGGAAAACATAAGTAAGAAGGATCCCCTAGCAGAAGCAACAGCAAAGTAAGATGAAGAGCTCCAATAATCCATCACTACAGGCTATTTATGCTTCTCACAGAGAGGAAAGAGAAACAAGAAGAGAGGGATAAGGGGATGAGAAGGAGAATATATATCTGGCCTCCATTATTCACCTTCGAGACATCCACAGTATATTATCTTTCATGTGGCTCGTAAGTGTGTCCAAGGGCCATATTCAACTAATCATGTATATCCAAACCTCTGTAGTATAAATTTATGTCATCGAACGTCTAACAGCCGCTCTTCTCATCAAATATCTATATCAAAAAACTTCAGCATAGAAGTTGGGAACAGCAAAGGACACGTGAGAAGTCTACAAAGCAACCTAATAATTAGCAGGTCTTAACACACAGACGAACACATATGATTATGTTTAGTCGTTTCTATTCCATGAGTTTTGAGACCTATACGATGAAAAACTTCAAGCGCCATACCAAAAACGAGAGAAAAAAACTAGCTATGATGAATGACCGGCGCAAGGAGATGCATGTTCTCTATAGTTAATAGAAACCAAAATGATAAGCAAAAGAAGTTACTTATGAAAGACAAGCGACAAAGTGTATTTAAGAGAGGCCAACATACTTACATTCTTATCTATGAGCTTAAAGGCTTTTCCTAACATGATTTCCCTCATTCGGTCCATCTCAGAAACTTGTTTTGCGAGCTAAAACATATGAACATAATGTCAATATTTTCCTCCATATACAAAATAAACATTACAAAAAAGCTTCCCTAAGATAGTAAGTGAGATATTGAATAGACATATTTGCATGAGTATTACCACTTACCCACTGAAACAGCAGGGATACTGAAAGAAAATTTACCTGACTCTTGAAGCTGTCATACACAACAGCAAGGACCAGATTCGTGACAAAGTAAACCCCCAGCAGGATATAGAGGACAAAGAAAAGGGAGTACCAACGTGAAACTCTGGAAGAAAAACAGATTGAAGTCAAGCAGCTGTACAACATGATGATATTACAAATATAGGGGGTGAAGAAGTTGAAGCCACACCTAAGACCTGGGTCCATGTAAGAATGGACCACCACTAGGCCAATCCCTTATTCGTTCATGATATGTAATCATCTAAATACAAAAATGTTTGATCCAAATTTTAAGACATTCTCAAATAATCATCATTCCCAAACAAAAGATCAAGGACACATTTAAATGCCGCACAGTCTGAACAAATAAAGATAGAAAGTCTACGTTACCATTATGAAAGAATTTTAACTAATAACTAAATAGAGAATATCCAAAGGTAAAATTAAGAGATAGAGAAAGACAGAGAGGGACAGAGACGAAGACAGAGACAGAAGCAATGTCCCGGTTTGAAAAATAAAAAATTAAGCAAGTGGACAAAACAAAGCTAAAAGGCAAGCTAAGTTGCACTCACATCTTGGGAAGATGAAATCCAATAGTTTTGAGGGTAAAAACTATTTTTTCTCAAATGACTATAAAAGATCTTCTCTTGACAATCAACATGAGAAATTTAAAGCACTTGCATCAATTTTACTTACTTATATGCTGATATCCATACATCTGGATTATTGGATGTGGTGTATAAAACAAACATCTTGTATAAGGTGGCACCATATGAGGTAAATTCAGTCTTTCCCTCTGTGGTATCTTCAAACATGACATATGCTACCCAACTGGCAATCAAAAGAAACAGAAGCAACAGAGCCTGCAGTTTTACCAGAATAACAGGACAGTAAGCACAACAAAGGGATAATATCATGTGACACAAGCTATTTATTGGCATAAATAGTGAAAACACTTGCTAAAATGTGATAATCTATCGCTAACTTTAGTGAAACTCAATCGTGCAAGTGGAGCAATAGCGATTCAAATAAGCAAAAGAGGTGACTAAACCAACCAAGACATTTAAGTAGGTCCCAAGCATGCCTGCCAGAATGAAGACGCTCGCTCGCAGTTCCCTATAATGAAAAGGAAAGGTAAAATTTGAGAGCATAATGTGAAAATGTGGAGATGCAAAGCTGGAAAGAAAGATGACCTGCCTATATTTTACCGTTCATCTCAAATACTTTAGAATGGAAAAATTCCTTTCTTCCTTCACTATGGTAAATAAGAAGAGGTGTAATTGTAGACCATTAAGATGGAGAGTATGACCTCAACTATAACGAGAGTGTGGCAGTGTAACTGCAAAATGTAATTGGACTTAATAAATGACATCCTGTTTTGAAGCATTTTTCCATTTTCAAACAAATATGCCAAATAATCTGCCTAAGGCTTTTCAGATTTAATGCTAAAGGCGTGTCAAACCAGCTGGGTTAAAGAAAAATTGTGGAAATAACTCAGACATACCGTATGTTCATGATGAAAAAGACAACTCTAACATAAGGTGCTGCTCTAAAAGGAAGATAATCAATGGCCACCACAGGGGATAAGTACAGGGCATATGCTAGTAAATCAGCGACCAAAAGCAGTAGGCAAACAACCTGAAAAATCAAGCCAAAGGTTAAAGCATCAATTGAATATACAAATAGCAGAAGGAATTTCGACATGCGAGATTTTAACAGCCTATCGATATTGCAGAAATCAACCCCAATTAAGAGAAATTCCTAACTGCATAAACAATGCAACCAAGAACATTTGCTTCCACTTACTATCATACATGTGCAAGATCACTGCATGTATTATCGTAAGCACAAGATAGTTTCCCTTAGTTGGTGACTTCATAATGAGATACTATCCGTGCTAAAGCAATGGAAATTTTACAATGAGACTGAAGCCACCATTCTCCCACATGAAAGTAATCAGAGACTTTCAAGCAGTTTTTTTATCAAACTGTTGATAATTGCTCCCAGACAGAATACATTGCATATTGCCTTTAATGTGCCTAGGAAATATCTGCTTGAAAGACAACTGAAAAGATAAAAAGCCCGTCCCTTATACCACTTAAGCGAAGAGAAACAACACATGGAAACTTCTTTTCTCTCATGGTGCACCGTCTGTTCACTCATCTCAGTACTCGCACAGTCCACGAGTCCAAGGCTACTAGAAACTCCAAAAAAGTGAAGCAGCTCACAAGAACAGAATAATTATTGAAGAAATGGCTAGGCAAAAGCAAAGTTCTGTACCTTTATTTGGTTAAGAGGACTCCTTGCATAGATGCGAAACCCTTCATATGAAACAGGAAAGAATGTATGTATCATGAGTATAACAAGAGTTACGCTCTGCATGAGAAAGAATATCCATGAGTTCCACTCACCCAACAATATCTCAAACATTTCCTACCATAGGCTGGGTAGATATCATACAATTCGCAAGATTACAACGAGTTCTTACAACGAGTTCCCCAGTTTGATCAATGTAACACCAAAGAAAAGATAATGGTCCTCACGGAAAAGACCATTAATTTTTTCAAAAGAAAAGGCTACTTGAATACTTTATTACTGAGTGTCGATTTATAGACATAGTGGGGATAGGCACATCAACGAATGTTCATTCGAAGTATGACGAGCATTATATGATTGTTTAATCAGATACATGCAGGGAAGGACAGATGTATCTAGTACATCCTGAAAGGTACTTTCTTTATGAAGTCTCAATTATAATGAAAAGACTCTTTAAATAAACGCCAGGCAGAATTTGTAGATTAACCTGCTGCCACAATGTGAAATTTAGTGAAAATCAATAAGTGAAGCTCATGAGGTATTAATAAGTGAACCTCATGACGTCTCATTTATATCACAAGAGTCGTGAGTGAACTGGCACCAAATGTATCTACAATTACAATTACCTCATATACCAGAGATTCTACACCCGTTAAGTATGGTAACTGTCCCAGAAAAAAGTATTCCCTCTCACTGCAAGCATCTGCAGAGTATCTGGCGCACCACAGAGGTTTCTGTGCAGGGGTGAAGAGTTAGTGCAGTAACCTTGGCAACTTCCGGGGACCAAGGCCCTCCGCCAGTGAAGAAGAGACCAGAAAGTCAGACTAACCTCAAAGAAGTTCAGTACTATTAAGGCAAAATAATTGAGGGACCAGATGATGTCAAGTTTTGTGAAGAGGAAGTATAATTTGGCAGCACTTTCAAAATCCGAATGCTCCAGAATTTGAACTGGAAGACCAACACCATCTTCAGCCTGCAGGATCCATTTCCAATAAATCACACGCGATTATTCCAAGAGAACATCAGCAGTGATTATTCCAGCCGGAGGAACAACCTCTTTAGAGGCACATTCCCCGCGAGAAAGACAGGGAACAAGCGAACATACAGAACAGATATCCTCGTTAACATAGATTACGAACTCATGGTTCTCATATGCGAACACGTCAGAAGGCACTCAAGCAGTGGGCCACGATCGAAACAAAGAAAAGCGAGATGCAGAAAAGGAAGCTGGGGCGGGGGCGGAGAGAAAACTCGAAATGGCAGTTTACAAGCTTAAACCCACGTTTTCTTTTACCTAAATGATCACGAGCTTAAGCCAAGATTTAGCCAAAAAAGAAGAACTCGATATAATATTGCTTGGAAGGTCCTCACTCCTCGCTGGGGTTGCTCTTCTATTTGTTCGGCTCACTCAGTTTCGATGCACCGCTGCTAGATTATCATGGACGAGATCAGCCTCGGCGCAGCGAGACTCTTCACGTTCCCTTCACGTGACCCAGTTCTAAGGAACTCAACGACTCGGTAAAAGTTGCAAACTTCGGTCATCTAACCAAACAACTAATGACAGAGCAGTGCCATTGGTATGCAATAACCTCAATGGTGAACTGATCGCCGCAAATGCAGCATCAGGAAGCCACCTCCGTCGGCCCGAAACAGGAAAACACGGCATAATCCACGATTTGGAACAATGCATTCAAAACAACGCAACACGCGCGCTCGTCCACTCAAAAAAAAAAAAAACAGAGGCAAACAAAAGAGACGAAGAGAAAGAGCTGGCGAAAACAGCTCGCGCGACGGCACACGAGGTGGCGCTCACCAGATCGACCAGAGCGGCCGCCTTCTGGTAAGGAGAGCCGTAAGCGAGGGCGTCGGAGCGGCGGGCGAAGCGGTCCCTCCTACTCCGCGCCGCGCCGCTGCTCTCCCCGTCGAGCAGGGGATCGTTCATGTCGCGAACAGGAAGCCGAGGCCGAGAAGCCCCGCGCGCGCAGAGAGAGAGAGAGACTGAGCGAGGAGCTCGAGGAGAGAGAAAGAGAGCGCGCGGGGGGCGAGGGAAGGTGGCGCGATCCGAGCAGCTCCGACCGCGACCGTTGCCGCGAGACGACGGACGAGGAAGGGAATAAAGGAAGGAACGCGGGAGGGAGAGGAGGAGGCGGACAGGACACGGATGGACACGCGTCGAGCCCGTGTTCAGCGTTTGGGAAACTTTAATTCAGAAGCGACAAAGATGTCGGCAGTTTGCTAGTTTTCCCGAAAAGGCAAAATGACACGAACTGTCCTAAATTTTAATTTAATGTATAATTTAATTCATAAATTTTTAATTTATTTAATATATTATTTGAATTTTAATTCAAAATATAATACGATCCTTCAAATTTTATTTTGTTTAATGTTAAATGCAGTTCTTGGGATGATATTGAATAAAATAAAAATTTAAGGATGATATTAAAAAAAATAAAAATTCAGAGATCACGTTACATATTGAATTAAAATTTAGGGATTATATTGAATAAATTAAAAGTTCATGGATCAAATTATATATTGAGTCAAAGTTCAGAAACTGTTTATGTCATTATCCCCTTAATGTATTTTCGGAAAATGCTAATGCTGTTATCGAAAGTATATTTAAATGGCTCAGTGAAGATCAGTGTACAGGATAAGGATAAAATAAAGAAAACCCCCCCTGCAAGAAATCATTATTAAAAATATAATTATTTATTATTTTTTGGTTCTGTTTTTTTAGTTTTTTACTTTAAAATATCTCTGTGAGAATGTTCTGTTCTCTTTCTTCTTGCTGGCCAGATTTGGACCGCATCTGGACCAGGGACCGCCACCTTCCCTCGTCCACACACTCATCAATCACGCCAGATTTACCTTTTCTTGGGTTCAGATAGGGCCATGGACCGATTACGGAAAATGACACCCGACAAGTCAAAAAGAAATCGACAGTTGGTAGTTGTAATGAGATGATGGTTAGGTTAAGGTTAGGTTAAGGGAGGGAAAGAGACATGGATCTCGGGATCGAATCCCAAGATGGCAGGATATATATGCATGCTGTGTTTTCTTCTGGGTTTTCTTCAATCCATGCACATGACCATGAGTAACCCCAGGTCTAAGATAAGCCATCCATCTGAACTTTTCTTACGTTTCCCTTAATCGTGCCACGGAACCTTTTTGAGGTCGGCGGACATGTTAGGGTTCGAGAAGAGGTAAGTAGTTGCAGAATCCGAGGACACTCCGAGAACCCCCACCGGAGAACAAGCACCGGAACAGGAACCACCATCCCAGAAACCAGACAAGGTGACAACCACTCGCGGGGGGCTCTGGAATTGTTTCGAGGGACCGCCAGAAAACGAAATGCTTGAGCCCCACTTGAAGTGCTTTCCCCAAAGATTCTTGTTATGCTGATACGCTACCACACTGGGCTTGCATTGGATTTGAAGATCAAGATCGAGCAGATGGAGGCGACGCGCAGCAAATGAAGCTTAACGGAAAGCAAGATCACGTAACAAGAATCGCTCGCGCATTGTACAGGACATCGGTGTTCTCATCGTGTCCCATACCAAACTCAAATGTGGGCATGGAAACAAATGTATGCATTATGTGATGAAAGAATCACACAAGTGTGTAACTACCTCGTCATGCAATATTAAGATCACAGAAATCTCCATCGATCGATCTCATGGGGAACTCTCTGACCGCACTCTAATGAAGTCACTCGGTACTTAGTAACTAATTACAGCAGCAGATGGGGTATAAACAGTACAAAAAAGGAAGCAGAGCTATGAACACCCTCGCAATCAAATCCAATCGCAAGGAGCTGGAGAGTCACCATGGTCATGCACAACAACTCTGGATCAAGTCTCTCAGATTCTACAGTATTTCTACATCTCACGTTGACTTCGAGCCTGCCCAAAGTGGAAAAATGTCTATCAGATTGTTGCACCGACACAAAAGTACTCAGCGCAGACCAGAAAAGGATCCTGACAGACCAATATGCACAACAAAGCTCGACAGAAATCAGGCAAGACATTGTGTTAATGAGCTGATGAATGTACTGCGAGGAAAAATGATTCAGGAACAAAAACTTGAAACCGACAGGAATGAAATTATTTTTTTTTTTAGCACTAGAAACTGGGGGAAAATTCCCATGTCAATAGTACTAACAACAAAGAAGCACAAACTTGAACCATACTGCGATTCACAAATAATCTTTTCAATACCAAGCACATCAGATAAATAATCCATAGTTACCAAATAAACCTTCAATGACCCACTTTCCACGTACCAGATTAAGCCCACCTCATTGATCTTGATGCACCAACAACTTGCATCATAAGTTTAACCAAATAACTGAACGAAATGGATAGAATTTTCTGTTAGTCTCGAGTTACAGGATGGACTTGATTGGAAGATCCCCTACGGGGATAATACACATTCCAATTTTCCGAGCTTAATTCTAAATATTTTGTTCGAAAACAAATATATCCCAAGAGTGGTCCATACCATTCTGACATCATAAACAGGAAATACTGTGATCTTTTTACATAGGCCCCGAAAGGAGAAGGGAGGCTGCAATGTCACCAATGTCTGACAACTGAAAGGTAAACTCCAATGGACATACGATCAGATAACTAAAATAAGATTTTAACATGCCACCATCCAGATGGAGGTGGGAATATAGGGAGACAAGGGATGTCAAGAATTTGCCTTAACGTTTGAAAAACAAGAGAGAATTTTTTGTGACGATACTCAATCAGGCAACTGACAAGGACAAGCTAGAAAAGGAAATATACGTATCCATTTTCCTCTAAAACACTTCTTTTTATAACATCATCCTAGCAAAAATCCAACATCTCTCATTTCGACCCCCTTCAAATCATCGTAAAATTGCGACTGACGTTCATAAGAGAGATCAACAATTGTCTAAGAGGATATATCAGGCAGAGGTGGAGGACTCTCACAAAACAAAGAATATGAGCAACGTATCAGGGCACTCATATTCCAAAATACTAAACGCAGCAGATGACATTGTATTAGAAATCAAGCTGGACAATAAAACAAACAACCTGCAGAAACCAGTCAAAGTTTCAGTAATTACCTCCGATCACAAGTCAACCTTCGATTTCTTTCCAGTAACAATCTGGAATATTCGTAGGCCTCGACTGAAAGCTTCATTAAATAAGATTCGTGTCTGCATTGACTGAAACCCAGGCATCCAAGATAGTAATGCTACTGGGGCCATGACTATGACTCCAAACATAATGTCGTACATCCGGGCCACAGAAACAACACTATCCCAGAGCTTGGTCCTCTGCAGAAATGGTCGGAGCACCTGAGCGATCAATATGATGCCCCACCCAGTGGGGACGAACGCCAACAGACTAGTGAAAATGTCCATGAATTTGAAGTTAGTAAACTCCAGCAATGCAAAAATTAAGAGAATTCCAAGAATAATAACAAGGAACTGAACAAGCCGATAGTAGATGTGGTCTTTTGCTGCATACTTGTCCTGAGCATATGATATCACCCAGTATACTCCAAAAGCCACGAAAACAAAAATCCAAGATAGCAAATAAACAGCAATGTTGGTACTTCCCGAAGCAATGCCAAGCTGGTAGACAATGCCATATTGAAAAAAGAAGAAGCGAAGATCCAAAATTATCTCAGAAATCTTTCCCCAAAAGCCAGTGGTTCTGAGGTGATCCTGCTCCTCATACCACCATCTCTCCCAACTTTGTTCAGCCTTTGCAAACACACCACCACGGTACCATATCCAATTCATAAAATCATCAAAGTCGTAGACAGTTTTCAACCAATCAAAACCAGAAGGGTTGAACACAAATGGAGCCATGATCCATGACACGACAAGGAACCAACTTGTAATGGTCAAGGCAATGTACACGAAAGTGTCTTTGGCAATAGGACTGTGCGATGCATAAACAGTAAGTATGAGACCAAGTTCAACCGCTTTAACAAAATGACTGCGAGCGTATAGCCTATAATTCTCCGCAAAGCTCTTGTGCTGCACAACAAAACCCCGGCCAGTAGCACGGTACTTGGCACCACCATGAAGAATAGTCCGGCCAAAGAAGTGGGTACGGGTTCCCATGGAAAATGTGTAGAAAACAGATGAAAGCTGGAGCTGCATGGTTATGAAATCCCAGATAGCTTGAAGAAACCCAAGTTCAAGAGAATTCTCCACTATCATCGGAAGGGCCGTGAATAGACCTAGTTGGATGATAAGCTGCTGATTCAAAATGGTACCAAGTGCTCTATTGTCACCACTGGTGGCAGCAGCCTCAACACCACTCAGAGCCAGGTAAAGTCGACCCCACAAAAACCCATACACAGTCAATATAACCATCATTGTGTTGAAAAAGAATCCAACGGTCGTGTAAAAGAAGGAGAGCATGCGAAAGAAGTCTAGCCTGTGCCCCAACCTGTAAACATCCCTGCTAAGAACTTGTTCACCATTTCCACTGGCAACTTTGGCCTCGAACATGGATACCTGATTCAACCCAACATCCCTCCCCTTCCCTACTTGGATGTACTCATGGTGCGTGACATTCCCTCCCCTCAGAGTGCAATTAAAACCGGCAAAAATGTCCTCGCTGATGTTGATAACCCGGGAAGCTTTGCTAATCCCACCCCGACTCAAGAACCAAAACCTATCGAAAACGTCCGGATGGCCATAGTGCATCCGAATTTTCAAAGGGTTGGCCAAGACACGCTGCCCTAATGTGACAAAACTCGTCTCCTGTGCAGACATAAACCAAGCAAGAGATGAAACTGAACCAGTAAAAATATGTTCTCTCACTCCCAAGATTGTGGGTTTGCGGATGCCGTAAAAAGCCCTATATTCTTCCAATAAGTTCCGCATCTTGAGTGCCTCCTCGAAATAGTTGTCTTGGTTCATGTCAATGGTCTGGACTGCATCTCCACGAGTGAAAATAAGAGCATGGTTCTGATTCTCTGGCTTTCCCTCTCCAACTTTCACAGGACCAGGCAGCTTCACCCTGTATATTTCCACTTCCTTCTGTAGCTTCTGATCATATTTCACAAGAACCGAATAATACTCCTTCTCATCCCTTCGAGTGGATACTTCATCTACATACGCTACCCTCAGGGCTTCATTGTTTTTCATCAGGTACAATATTTCATCAGCATGAGGGTCCTTTTTGGCCTTCTGGGCCCCGTAAATTTGGCAGGCAACCACATACGTGTATTTCATCATGGCCGTGCCATCCTCGTGGCCTTTAAACAAAGTGCTTACGGAACTGCTTGCTCTGCTAAGGCTCTTGGAAGAAGGCAACCTTCCCGAGTCAAAGCTATCCAGAGTACCATCTCTACGCATTGACCCAAGCTCTACCGGCCCTTCCCTGACATCCATTTCTGATGCAGAATCAAGAAAAACCAGCATCTTGAGGGCCCTATAATAATACATCATCCCCCTCACCGTTCTGCCAAGAGTCTGCCCTCGATATGACGCCCAAAGCCTGAGATCCCTCAACTTGGTTGTCCAGATCTCACTGTCCTTTACCATCCCCTCACGACGCATCCTCTCCATGAAGTTCTTCCAGTCATCATCATATATTGTCTGCAAGTAATACAAAATGGAGATTCCATCCTCATTCTCAGTACGAAGTTGTTCTTTGCTGAATACGACTTCTTCGTTGTAGTAGGGAGTCAGAACACTGAAAGCCATCATCTTCTCTACTTGGGGAGCATGAGGCATGTTCATGAACAGTGAGTTACTGAAAAAGGCAATTCGCCTTCGCGCCTCGAGATTTACAGGAATGTCATGCATCGAGTCCCGGGAGGTAAGGATAGTGTGCAATCGCCGGACCTGCCTATAGAACTTCTCATCATCTGGCTCAGGCAATACGACTGCGTTCTCAAAAAGCAAACCAGCACCAGAAGCAGCATCTCTGGGTGCCAGACCATCTGCCTTCAGCTGTCCAGCGGTCCTCTTTTCCTTGAGAAAGTCTCTAATGGCAATCTCGTAAAGTGCCTGCAGCGTGTTCACCACCTTGCTCAGGTCTTTCTTAGGCTTGATCAACAGTTCGACGAGCTTTATCAGATTATTGTGAATCTGAGGAAGCGCAGTCATTTTGAATGACTGGGTAAACTTCTCGATCTCAATAGAATGATCAATCTCTTGAAAGAGTACTGTCATAATCGAATGCTCTTCACTGTTGACCCTGATTATCTTCAGCAGCAGGTGCTTCACACTATCATACGATTCAATGAGAGCACAGCGCCTGTACTCGTTCTTGCAGACCTTATACCACAGCCACTTATCAGGAGCATCTACCAGCTCTTTCGCCTGGCACAGAGCAAGAAGCAGCTCATTGCAAAGGAGAAAACAAGGCCAACGGACGACCCTGACATTCCAAGTATTGGGCGGCAGCTCCAATAACTCAACCTCGCGATCAGAGACAATATCCTCCTCCCTAAATATACCAATTATCTCATTCCATATCAAAGCGAACTTGCGTGCCTCCACTTGATTGGACTCGAGCTTTTTATATGGCCTGCCTAGTCCATACCTCAACTTCAATCGGCGAATGGCATCATTAAACTTGCTTTTCAGCGTGCCCCTTGCATTCAGAAGCTGCTCTTCTGGCATCAGATTAAACTGAATAGCGCTAGCAAAGAATTGGAACCTCAACCTCAACTGCTGAATATTTCGGATCTCGCCCAAATGATCAAACAACCCAACTGCTGCTCCCACAAACGAGGAATATATGGAGTACCAAATCTGCAAATCCATAAGGTACACCAACACGACAGGAAGCCACAGCAGCCCAACTGCAAACCTATTGCTATTATTAAAGAATTCATGCCATTCATATTTCACGTCGTTGAGATCCAGTAGCTCTTTTGTCGGCTTGATCATGGGCTTGATCTGCATAAAGTAACTGAAGGAGAACTTTGTGGCAAGCACCATAATCCAGAACAGAGTATACTTCACATTATCCACCGGACCTTCCCGAAGACCACGGCCCACAAAAATTCTGCTCTGGAACCACCAAGTCATCAAGTGAAAGATCCTCCAATTCGTTCCCTCCAGGAAATTGCGAATCCAAGGAATGACAAAGAGAGCCAAAGCTAACAGCTCCGGCAGAATGAAAACAAGGGCTACCTCAAGAAAATTGACCACCCTCGTATTTGCTGCGCCAGACCATCCCCCGTCGGCATTTTTTTTAGACCAAATGCGCCCATAGAACGCCCCGAAGACGATGATCCACACAGCGGCAACGACAGTCTTCAGCGCCATTCTCACTCCAAGCCCCATCGTCTCCCTCGATACCAACCTATACTGCATTCCTATATCCAGCAAAGACTGCAGGAACCGCATTCCACTCCAAGTGAAAAACACAGTCAAAACCCTTACCTGAACCTCCCTACTCTCCAATGCCTTCCACGGATCCGTCCCCTCCCAAGCAACAATAATGGCCGCCTGCAAAAACAAGACCAACATAACCCACAATCGGTCGAAGCTCCTAAACAGGTTCCAAAACGACCTCTGCTCCACGAAACCCGTCTTCCCCACGCGATTGCTCCTCCCGCTAGTCACGAAGAAGTTACTCCCGCCGTCAACTGGCCATTTCAACTTCTCAAAGCACCTCTTGCTCCAGAAGTACTCGTTGATATCGTCGTAATTCCTCCAGGCGCGATGCGGCGCGGTCCCGTTCTCACTCGCCTTCACCTCAGCCCCGACAATCTCGTAAATGGGCTTCACCACCGTGTTCAGAAACGCATTCTCCCCCGAGAACGAGGGCAACACAGGCCGCCCAGTATTCTCATCGATGTAATCCTCCAAGATCTTGTTCAGCTCCATGGCCATGTTATGAAATATATAGCAGAGGCACTCGGGCATAAAGCGCAAGTTCGCGGCCTCGCCCCAGATGAGAAGATAGAGCGACACGTAGAGGAGCTCGCGGCGCGGATCCGGGGTGGACTGGCGGCGATCGGAGATCCAGACGTTGGACTTCTTCCCCAGGAAGGCGCACCAGTCGGAGTAGTTCCTCAACAGCTTCTTCCGGAAGCGGCGGACGACGGCGGGGTCGAGGGAGTCGATGTTGTCCGGGGGCGGGGAGAGGCGCATCTGGAGATTGGCGAGGTGGAGGACGAGGTGCTCCCGCTGGTTGCGGACGCTGTCGGCCTGGAACCCGAAGAAGAGGGCGAGCCAGTCGAGGAGGTCGTAGTGCTCCCGCCACGGCGAGAAGGGCGGCCTCCTCAGGCTGCCGACGGTGCGGAGCGCGGCGGCGGCGGCGCGGACCTCCGGGAAGCGGAGGGAGGGGTGGTCGGCGAGGAGGTTGTGGATGGGGATCACGTTGTAGACCTCCTCCTCCTCCTCCACCTCCTCCTCCTCCTCGCCGCCGGGGCGGCGGTGCTGGGACGGCGGGGGGCGCTGCCGGAGGCTCATGAGAGAGATCCGGCGGCGGCGGCGGGGAGACGAATCGGAAGAGAGCTTCGACTGTGCGGGGTCTGCTGCTGCTGCTGCTCGATGAAGCTTCGGAGTATGGCTTGAATTCTTCGAGGTTTAGGGCGGAGATAGAGAGAGAGAGAGTAACGGGCAAAAGAGGGGAGGGAAAAAATGGCGTGGGGGTGGGGGAGATGGAGGTTGAGGTTGAGGGAGACAGATGATGCATGGTGGAACGGAACAGGGGAGGAAAAACAAAGGGGATTTTTGGGATTTCTTTATTTTTTTTATTTTTTTTTTATTTTTCGGGCGAATGTTTCCTTTTCATGTTGTCGGGGTGGGGGAATTTACCTTCGCAGGAGATGGAGACAATGGTCTCCTTTTGATCTTTTCGAGGCGCATCCCGTGTTCTTTTTCCGAAGAATAAACGCATTAAAAATCCTAAAGCTTGTCCCGTACGTGCAATTGAGTCTTAAAATTTTTAAAAAGTACAATCAAATCCTAAAATTTATCATGAAAGTACAATCAAGTACTAAAATTTTCAAAAAGTGCAATCGAGCCCTAAAACTTGTTGCGAAAATTGAATTGAGTCATAAATTTTTCGAAAAGTGCAATCAAAAGAAGAACTTAATTTGGCTAACTTGACAAGTTTTAGGACTTGATTGCACTTTTTGAAAGTTTTAGGACTCAATTACACTTTGTGACGAGTTTTAGGACTTAATTTCACTTTTTGAAAGTTTTAGGATTCAATTGCACTTTGATGACAAGTTTCAGGACTTTCAATGCATATATCCCTTTTTTCAACCATCAACGGCGCTCGTATTTTATTCCGCGAACCCTTTCTTTTTCTTTTTCTTTTTCTTTTTTTTTGAAAAAATGGGGAACCATTTTCGAAGGATTATAGAATGGGGGCGATCGACGCGGACCGTGGATACAAAACTACCCGATTCGATGGGAGCAGTAAGTGCTCGCGGTAGGGGTAGGACTGTGCAAAGGAATCGGAAACCACTTGGACCGCCCGGACTGGATCGGCAGTTTCTATGGGGATCAATCCGATTCGCGGTTCTAATTTAGTGGAACCACCCATCCGGTGTATATATATATTTAAAAAGAGATCCATAAGTCAAAGAGGCTAATTATAAATAATAATAAAAAGCACAAATTTTACCTTGAGTGACAATTCTAGCTCGAACTTTTTTTGTCTCGATAAAAAGCATCAACTTTTACTCGAGTACCAAATCTGGCCCCCGTGATGTGAAAATTTCAAATTGTTCGGCAAAATTTGGGATTTAAGTAAAAGTTAATGATTTTTATGAGACAAAAAATTCTAACCCTAACTTTTTTCGTCTCAATAAAAAGTATCACTTTTACTCGGGTACCAAATCTGGCTCCCGTGATGTGAAATTTTCAAATTGTTTGGCAAGATTTGGGATTTAAGAAAAAGTTAGTGATCTTTATAAGACAAAAAAATTTCAGATCATAATTGTCGCTTAAGATAAAGTTGGACGTTATTTTTTCTAATTAAGCCTAAGTGAAATCGAGCTTTTGCCCTTTATTTTCTCTTTCCTGCCCTCCCATCTGCAACAGTTTACATGCACCGTCTCTCTCGCTCCGTGCGACTTATCCTCTCCCGATGTGATTTTCTTTCGTTTTTTTCCCCTCACTTTCTCGCGGTTGACCCCCGCATCTTCCCTCTCTTTCTCGAGCGCCAATCCTTGGATGGCACGAACTGAGGCGTTTTTAAACGTCGATGATCTCGTTTGTCATCTTCTCCTCCTGCTGCAATTTTCCTTCCTATAGTCGGGGAAAGCTATTCTGATTGGTTGAAGCATTTTAAGTTCGAGAGGGTTTCGATAGAAGGACGGGTGGTGCTGGCGAAGCGGACTCTTGCTTCTTACTTCGTGTTATATTAATTGATTCATGTAATTCTGTAGGGATCGGAGACCGGTTCTATAGACCTTCTTAGGAACCAAACCGGATCGGTGGTCCGATCTCGGGTGGATCCACGAAACCCACGAGTGCTTCCTGGTTCTATGTTTTTGGAAACGGTGCTTAGTGCGCGGTTCTCAATTTAGGTGGGATCAGGAACTGCCTACCCACGTCATGCTCACCCCTAACTCGCGGGGACAAGAGGATTCGAACAACGACTGGGCTTTTTAGAATGCTCCTCAAACTAGTGAGGGGACGGAGAATATATCGAATTACGCACAAAATAGGAGGAAAGCAATATTGAATGGACTCGTATTGCATGACAAAATGCGACCGTTGATGTGACGATGCTGTTTAGTATTGTAACTTCAATGTTAATCGTGCTCGAGTAAGACCTCCTGAAAAATAAGAAAAAAGCTAAAAGATAAAACCGTGAAAAAAAATTGTGGCGGTTATCTAATATGTTGTTTTAATGCAACTTTTATCTTACAATAATTGTATGGTTCACTGTGAAAAGTATTTATTTTGATAACGTCAATTTTTTTAAATCCATTGTACATGTATGTAATTTTTTTTAGAGAAATTATAAGTATTATGTCAAGGAGCTCAAGATCAAAGGATGGTTGCAATGATTTTTATATATAGGAGTTTTTTGTTTGAAGGAAACTGTTTTCGGTAATTTGTTTTTCGACTTTCCAATATTTGGACAAGAGAAAACCTATCCATATACGAGAAACAGTTTTTATGGATGAAAAACAACAAACTTAGATTATGGATAATAACTTCTTTTCTAGGAAGAAAGAAATCACATTCCCTAAATTACCAAATAAACGAAAACAAATGAACATCTTCCTTAAAAGTGATATTCGTGAAAAATATTTTCCTTTATCATTAAATTTTCTGCAAAGCAAACGCATCACAACTTTCCATTTTTGAATTTGAACTTTGACTTGTAATTAATATAAAAGCCCGAATTAAATATTCAAAGTTCTAAGAAGTATCAAATTCAAAACCATTCGAATTTTTGGGTTTTTCGAGAATTCGAAATAACATTCTTTTTTTTTGGCAAGAAAATCGCGCACAACTTTTTAAAAGTTACCTCAAACGGGGCCCTCACCACATTATTGAAAACTCATTTGGATCACACGGAGCAAGTTGCCAATAATGGCTTCAGAATAATGGAATCCCTTTTAAATGTTGCGTTGAATGATAGGATCAGTTTATATATTCAAGACTATCTAATCAGATCCTTATGTTAAAAGTTCCATATCTGCAGACAGTGCGGAGCAATTAGATACAAAATGTTAATATTTAACACAGTAATTCGTGCTAAAAGTTCATGCGCTTTCGGATTTAAAGTTTCTAAAGCTATTCGACATTTGTCAAATGCTTGCATTGTTTATAGCTAGTGCAATTCGTCGCCATGTTTGAGTTCTAAAGCTATTCGAATTTAAAAAACTGTACTTTTATTTAAGGGTACGTTTGTTTGAGGAAAAGTATTTTTTGGAAATCTGTTTTCTGAACTTTCACCTGTTTAGTTTGTCGAAAATGATAAGTCAATCGAAAATAATTTTCAAGAAAATATTCATGTATAAAATTAGAAAAGTGAATTCCTCAGTTTAAGAAAGCGAAAACATTTTCTAAAATTGCTCATCTTGAATTCGTTAATATTTTATATTTCCTTTTCCCTTCTTCCTTCATCCGCCGATCGCCGGCCTATGCGACGACCGGCGACCAGCCACAAGCATGGGCCGGCCTCGCCCAAGGCCAGCGAGCTCGAGTCTCGCCTGGATCCGATGAGCTCGAGCTCGTCGGCCTAGGGCGAGGCCCGACGCGCCATGTCCGGCGAGCTCGATGAGCAATGGCCACTCAAGCATTGACGTCTCGCAGCCATGGGTGATCGAACTCGAGGTTGTATCGCGGAACGGTGGCGAGCAGGGATGTCGATGTCGGCGGGGCTAGGTTTTTTTTCCTTATTTTGCATTAAATATTCATATGGCCTATTATGATTATTTTATTTCTTTAAACATTGATTTACTCATTCAATCCGCATCGGCTTTTCCGAACGCCAAACTCGGCATTTCGACGATCCATGTCAACAGCAGTCAAGGAAAAAAAAGCAAGAGATTAACCGACGGACGAAAAATCCCCAACTTTTCGAAAAATACACGGTCGGTTCTTCGCCCCAATGAAAAAAAAAAAACACGGATCGGGTTTGAATTTCGTACAAAAATAGAGAGATCGCCACCGGGGTAACATCACCACCACGCCCATACACGGCGCTACGAGTCTACGACAACGTAGCGGGGACGCCACGCTAAACGGAACGCTTTATTCGTTCTATTGTGCTAGCGTCCCCACCCCATTCGGCGCATAATCTTTTGTTTATTGCACCATGAGATTGCCTTTCTCCTTTCTTTATGTTATGGACAAGGACTTTCTCGGACCACATGTTATGTTACATAGTCAAAAGGATGGCTGTTCGATCGTACTAGCTTTCCAGAAGAGAGCGAAGAGGTCAAATGTGAGAAAATTTTAAGATCTCGGAATTGACGTCGGAACGACCAAGATTCGTCGCAACTCCGTTCCCCCCGGAATTGAATATTTCGCTTCGCGAGTAAGTTCCTGTTTTTTGGCGCCGCCAAACATTAAACAAAAGGGGAGGAGCACCCACCCATCGGTGGTCGTGTTGGTTTGCGCTCAGTTCCTTTCACGAGAGGTCCTGGGTTCAAACTCGCCCATCGGTGATTTAAGTGGGGGGTCGTGGCGGTGGGATGCTGCGCTAGCCCCCCTCGAGGACTAGTTGGGCATCACCGTTGGTTTGAGCCTTAGCTCGCCGGCCGCGCAGACACCTCGATTATCAAAAAAAAAAAAAAAACAAAAGGAAAGGAGCGGTTTTGTCCGCCACCCCTTCGGTTGGAGTAAGTTCCAACTAACTCCAACCTTACGAAGCTCTGTTTTCGACAGGACGGAGGAAAGAAAAAGCGGACGAGAAAGGACGATCGCGTTACCCGCATTTCAATGTAAATTTCGAATATCCTTTTTTTTTTATTTCCCCCATTTTCTTTACTCTTGAAATTTTCTCAAACTCCCCCCCGCACTCGAATTTCGGGACGATCATCATGTCGTGCCGAATCGGGCTTCCAACTCTCCCGAATCTTTACGGGCCAGGATGGGATTTTCCTTTCGCGGAATGG